TATATATATATATATTTTTTTTTTTTTTAATTGAGTGTTGCTGATGGGGAGGATAACGTAAGGTTAACTATCTTTAATTTTGCCACATCAGGGTTAAAAATAACCACCCTCATCTATTCCTTCCATGGTTTGACACAGAAAAAATGTAACTTTATACCAAAAATATAAGCAAAGCATTATCTCCACACAGAAGATAGTCTTTCCAATTGAAAGCTTTATGAAGAAAAACCCCCTTTCATTCATTTTACTTTTATTATGTTGCAGTAGCTCAATAATGTATTTGTGAAGTGCATGAGTCCCCTGAGAACTTCTGATAGATCAGGGTGAGCCCTAGCCAGCTACTGCAATGGAATACAAGAAATGCCTAAGAAATGCCACCCTGTCCTGCACATAAATGGAGGAAACAGGGAGCTGCCTTGCTTTACAGCATTGCCCATACGGAAAAGGGAGCAGCTAGCACTGCAGTCTCCTCTCGTGTTCAAAATGACACGTGTGAGTCGCATTGGATGGAGACTGAGATATCTGTTCAATGAATGTATTGGTCCTGCTTTGGACAGATGCTCAGCTTGTTTGGCTTTTTGTGACATAAAAGACCAGCTGACAATATAGACTTAAGACAGAAAAGTATTAAAAGTTCAGAACAGGGCCTGGCCAGAGACACTGACTAAGGTTTTCATTAATTCCTAAAGTAGAGACATAAGGAAGAAAGAGGTTTGTGGTTAATAATAATCATACTTAATACCTACTATGTGCCAGAGTTCTGTACTGAGCCCTTTATTAACTCTGTCTTGTTTAATCTGCAAGACAAATTTAGGAAATAGGTATTTACTATAGCTGAGACCTGGAATGTCTCCCGAAGGCTAAGGCTAAGGCTAAGGCTTGGTCTCCAGCCTATCATGCCACTAGGGAGCAGTTGACTCTTTAGAAGGCGGATCCTCGTGAAAGGAAGTTAGGCCATTGGGGGTGTGTTTTTGAAGAGGATAAAGGATCACCGAATACCCGCCCTCCTCTCCTTCTCCCGCTTCTCTCCCTCTTCTTCCACTCTGATTTCCTGCTGCCATTAGGAGCTCCCTCTCCTTCCTTTCCCATTGCTCAGGTGAACATGCTTCATGTCATGATGTTTCAGCCCCACCATAAGTCTAAGAGCAATAGAGCCAGCCAACCATGGACTGAAACTTTTGAAACAGTAAGCCAAAATAAAACTTTATTCCCCGTAAGTTGTTTATCTCTGGTATTTTGTTATGTAATAGAAAGCTAACTAATATTTGAGGCAACTTTTTCGAAGTTGCAAAAAACAAGTCTGAGAGAGGTGAAGCTCTTGCCCAGGATTACAGTGTGAAGAGAGTCACCTCTGCCCTGAGAGTCTGCCTTGAGCATTGCACCAAGACCCACCCTGTGGGATCTATGGTCTGTTTTACCAAATCGCCTACCTATATAGTTACATATTTAACAAACTATTAATAGCACACTCATCATGTGGCTTTTCTACCTTTCCCTGGGTCCTAGGCCATTTTTATTAAGTTGTGGGTTAAAAGACCATCTTTAGGTACTGGGATTGGGCCTGGGAGAACAGCTACAGACCAGAATCTGGCATAAAAAGACAGACTAGGTAAAGCAGTGGCCCCCAAAGAATGGGCCACCATGGATCCCTGTCCCCCTGAGAAGATTGTTCCGGCCAGCAGGACTACATAGATGGCAGTGATGCCCAGGGTCTCCTGGAACCTTCCACAGTCCTGCAGGCATGGGCCACTGTCTGCTGAGTCTGCTGGATTGGATGCAAATTCCCAGGAATATGAATCACCTTTCTTCTAAGACTTTGCTCCATCTTCAGCCCCAGATATCTCATTGCAGCCACTACCAAAAAAGAAACCTGGGAGAGGGGAAAGCCTGTATGTTGGTTCAGTAGCCACATCATGAGGATTTCATTCCCTCACTGTGGATTCTGTGATATCTCCTTCTTCCCCTTGCCCATCAGCTCTCTGCCTCACCTGGTGCTGATTCTCAACATGACAATAGATGCCCTGGGGTGGGGGTGGGTGGCCACTGTCCTGGCCACCCTGTAGTCACCCCAAGGGCACCATGCTTAAACACCAGGGAGGTGCAATGTGCATGTTTTCTGGAGAGGCCACCTCCTACTTGAAGTGGGGCTCAGGGCTGGAAGCCTCACAGGTTCTGTCCGTTTCCATCCTCTGATGTGGGGTGCGTGTGTGTGTGTGTGTGTGTGTGTGTGTGTGTGTGTGTGCGTGCAGCCTCTACTTCTTGCCACCACCAACACAACAGACCTACTCACTGATCTCAGAGAGGGTCCTGAATCGCTTGTCTTGATAAGACAAAAATACCCCAGAGCTGGGGTAGCTTGAAGTTTTGTTTGGAATTCTGTAGATGGTTCTGAGGAACAATTAGTACTGAAAGCACATGCCTGGATGTTTTCTAGGATGTTTCTAAGCTTTCCTGAGGTCATGTGTCCATTTCTTTTGGTATTTATTGAAATTAATGCTACTGCTGCATTCCATTCTATGATATAGCCACTTTTATTTTAATTTTAAATGAATGCTTTAAATTTGTTAATATCTAATAAAGTTGGCACTCTGGAAGATGCTTTGTGTTTAATTTGTAAATAACCCATGGTTTTGTGCTTTCTTTTGTGCAGCCCACTTGGGGAATCTCAGGACGAAACTGTAAGGACATGCGTTTCTTCAGTATTCTTTGCATCTATGACATCTCCCAGAGATCTGTGCCATGTTCATGTGAGAAATGCATTTGTTGGCTGTGGTTTCCTGTCTTTTTACATCACCAGCCCTGCACCTGTGAAGATCTACTTCAGAGAGGTCAAACATGGAGTTACTGGTTTAATTCCAAAGAGAAAAACTGGAGTTCTAAATTGTCCCAATAAGAAAGAAAAAGTGTTCCACCATGAATTGCCTTGAGAAACATCAATATTATTGGACAGTTAATACCAAATTGTACTCTGAGATTACTCTAGACAAAAACATGACTAAGGGAAGTCTGCATTTCACTTGTATAGTAGAGGATCCTAAAAAATACTCAGTATGCTCAACTACATTGTACCCATTTAACTAGGCCTTCATTCCAGAAAGTTACTCCCTTAAATGTCCAAAGCTCTGTCCTTTCTGTCATATAGCTGTCCCTGGAGTTGGATTTTATGAACTAATTCTTACTAGAGTATCCTTGACTGATACTGTTTATTTAGTTATTTCAAAGTGTTAAGCAGGGTGGTGTTTACTTCATCTAAAAGGATATACCATTGTAGTGGAATTTCACACATAAATGACACAAGAAGGGTTATGTTGAGAGTGACAGCAGGTTTCCTACACCTCCTCAAATAAAACAGTACCCTTCAGAAGCAGGCCAAATGTTTACCATAGCAACAAGTAGTGCTATGGATCAGCAAGTCACTGAACACTTGAAAGCATACATTAAAAAAATCAACCAACCAACCAAAGAACTAAAAAACCCATCCATGTCCGTTGGAATTCCTACTTACATTGCTCAAAGCCATAAAGATGAATTAAAGGTGTTTCAGTGAATCTAGAAGATAAACAAGGAATTTAACATGAATCCTGTGCAAAAGAGGAAAGAAAGGGAAAGTGCATTGCAATGGAGAGGAATCTAAGCATAAAGGACCGGCTTCCAGGGTCCCAGAAACACTTCGGGTCCAAGAAACAAGCTCTGTGAGACATATGCAAGATTTAATGGGAGAAATGATCTGGGTGCTCCTGTAGAGGGAGGAGCTGGTGCTAAAATACAGCCTGCAGTTCTCCACCCGGTCCTAGTGCATAACCACATCCCCCTGGGGGACATGTGCACTGTTCCCTCTTAAGGAAATGCCTTTCAGCAGAGCACTCTCAGAATTTTCACAAGATTCTCTATGAACTAGCAGCAGTCATGGACCAGTGCTCCTGACTATGTGCTCTCTAGAAAAATATTTGAAAGGCTGGGGAAGCAAAATCTGAGGATCTCAGGCCCAGAACAGACAAAAAAAAAAAAGATACAAAAAAAAAAATCCACAAAAATCTCTATCCTCCACCAGTGGCATCACATCACCATTACCAGTCATCTCTTCTGTGGAACAAACAAAAAAAAGAATTAAGTTTTTTTCTCTCTCAGGATCACACCATAATGTAAGAACAATGAGAAAGCAAGCAGGGTGTAGGGCTAAAAGGGGACCTCTTGAAACCTACACGCCAAGGAAGTCTCCCTTTTCCATTTTGTTAATTTAATGTGAAAGTGAAATAGGCTCCTTTGCAACCTTGACAGCTAGCTTTCTGGCAAAGTGTCTAAAATAGGACGTAAAATGGAGACATGAATCGATGAGGCTCATTAATATTCATAGACCGATTAAGGTTGTTGAAAAAAATTATTTATGAAACAGTGTATTGTCTTCTCCTTACCAGAAGGATTTTGTTTAGAGAGGAGAGAAGTGGATGACAGGGCTATGACAGATTAGGTTAGAATGTGCAGGTTTCTTGGTTTAGCTCCCAAGGTAAAGAATCTAAAGCATTTGCAAGGAAAGATTGCCCTGGGCTGAGCACAGCAGGTGCCTCCTTGGCAACACATGGCAGGAGGTGTAATGAGGTGTCCCCAACAGGAGGGCCCCAGCCCCAGCGGGATGGGAAGTCCTGCAAAGGAAATCAGGGGTGGATGTGGAGTGTGGTTCTGTAACAAAGGATCAGGCCATAGGTGAACTGGGTTTTGCTAATGGCAGGAAGGTAACTGGTTAAAGATGAATGACATTTAACCTTTAACTTTTATGTTATGTAACATACAACTGAATAATATACAATATTATTGCGTATTCTTATAATATGCAATAAACATAATTTACAATTTTTTCACATTAAATCCATATTTGTTGTATATGATGTTATTTCTAACTAATTAATTATGTGCTGGTCTTTAATCTAATAAAGACAGAGTGAAAGTCAGTGAGTTTAGAAATAGGCTCAGGTTTTCAAGTGAACTCTGTGGAAGTGCTGTGTCCTTCTACCATCAGAGGTTTTATTGTGAGTCCCTTATCTTCAGGAGCCCTTTACTCCTTCGTCTTCCAGATCCTTTACATGTTTGTGGAAATAATCTCTTAGGATCTAAAGAAATTTTGAAATGTCACCTTATAATTTTAGAATTGAGGATTGAGAGCGTAAGAGTGAGAACCTCAGAACAGAGCATAGTTGTTCCTAAGGCCTTACAGAGCACCGTGTATGTTTTAAAAAGAAAGTCCCTACTGGTTGTGCTCCCTAAATCCAGTCTTCGGTGTATGTGCCCAGCCCTCATAAGAAATGTCTAGAATAGGTAAATCTATAGGGAAGAAAGCAGACTCATGGTTGCCTGAAACTAGAGGAGGGGAAGATGGGGAGTCACTGCTAACAGATTTCTTTTTGCGGGTAATGAAGTGTTCAGGAATTGGACAGTGGTGATTGTTACAAAATCCTTTTTATGTGTAAAATAAAGTGGATTGCACATTTTATCATGGTAAACGTTATGTAAATGTTTATTTCAATTTTTAAAATAAAAACACATCAAAAGAAAGCTTGATGAAGTCATTTAGTAAGTTCTATAAATCAAGGCTTCTCCTTAGAAGAGGCTTCTGTTTCTACTCAGAGGCCAATCTCTCGGAATCATGAGTTTAATGTCTCAAATTGTGCTAAAATACAGTTATCAAAATAATTTAGAGAAACAAAACTTATTACATAATAATATATGTGCTTCTCTAATAATGCCGGAAATAGAAAGTACCAGTGGCAAGTCTAAGAACTACTTTAACGTCAAAATTGTGATGAGCATGTGTGATTCTAAAGATACTGGAACCTGCGATTTATAGTAATGATGAATTCACAGATGTTGCTAATAGTCACTAATTGCTGACACTCGTGATCAAAGGAAATGTTGCATTTCAGTTAGAATCAGTAAAGATAAGAATGTAATTTTTTCCACATCCAAGATCACAGAGTCTGAGAATCTGGACCACTTGGGGGCCTTGTGGACCCTCAAAATAAGACCTCCTGTGTTGTACTACTTTAAGGACATTCACAAAAAGACAAAGAGCTCAAAGTATCTTTGATAAATTGTTATCTCATTACTTAGGATGGTTTCTAATCTCAACAGGTAATGAGCAGCAGACCTCAAGTACAATTACTATCCTTCTATGAAGAGCACACAGATAAACTCCCCTATTTAATAGGTAGACAAGTCCCCTAAATCAGTGGTCACCAGCATTTTGCTATCAGGAGCTAGTTTGGGGGGAAGATAATTTTTCCACCAACTGGGAAGGGAAGTTGGTTTTGGGATGAGTCAAGCAATTGCATTTATTGTGCAGCCGAACATCTCTGCTCATGTTAATCTGTCTTTATAGCCGCTCCCCTGTGCTGGCATCAACACCTCAGTTCCACCTGAGATCATCTGGCGTTAAATTCCCACAAGGAATACACAACCCAGATCCCTTGAGTGTGCAGCTCACAGTAGGGTTAATTCTCCTCTGAGAATCTGGTGCTGCTGCTGCTCTGATGGGAAGTGAAGCTCAGGCAGTCATGCAAATACCTAAGGAGCAGCCGAAAACATGACAGAGCCTCGCCCACTTCTCACCTCCCACAGTGCAGCCTGGCTCCTAACAGACCACAGACCAGTACCAGTCTGTGACTTGGGACTTGAGGACCCCTGCCCTAAATGCAATCAGGTTCATTGTGTCAATTTTAATGAGGTTATAGGGAATGTTGTGTCCTGTGTTTTTTTTTTTTTTGTACCAGGGACTGAACTCGGGTCCTTGCGCTCTTGAGGCACGTGGTGAATTTTTGTTCTTTATTAGTCTATGTTTGCATAGTAGATACATGGACTTGACATGTCTCAGTTCATTTTATTCTTCCTCCCCACCTTCTCCACCTCTACGTCCCCTTCCCATTTGCTAAAGATCTGTCCTCCTGTTTCCTAGTGTCCATCTTTTATTTTGCTTTTAAAAAATTATTTATACTTTGGGTTTCTTACATAAGAGAAGTTTTGCAATATTTAAACTTTGTGCCTGATTTAATTCATTTAACACTGTGATTTCAAGGTGCATCCATCTCCTGCAGATGATCCAAATTTAGCTCTCTTCACGGCAGAGTAGTTTTCCATTGTGTATAAATACCACATTTTACTTATACATTCATCTGTTGATGGATGTGTGTGCTGTCTTGAGAATCACTTTGAAGCTTTTTCATCTGTGGGAGTGCGGAGGGGAGGGAACTCTTATCGTAGATTAGTGTTGACTGTTGAGCATAGAAGGTAAGGAATCACCCGAAGACCACCAATGCTGCCTAAAACTGGATTCCGTTGGTGTCACCAGGGACTTTGGCTTAGGCGATTCCTTCCAGGTGGGTTAATTCTACACCATTGTATAACATTGACACATAAAGGTAAGCTAGCTGACAGGGACATTTGGTGTTGCCTTTTCTTCTTAAGACAAAATCCCATCATTTATTAGCATTACAATATGCTGCCAATGAAATGCTGCTCATTATTAGAAAGCTAGTATTTGGGGGAAGATAAGAACATGTAGAATTATCTTTGAAAAGTAACCCCTTCTTATTTCATATACTTTTAAGCTCTGCTTTCTAACTTGCTCAGGCCACTCAGGTGCTCTTGGAACTCACCAAAGCTTTAGGACTCACTGAAACTCACAGTGAAAATTTCCAGCTTTCACCAATATCCTACATTAATTTTGTATTTTTGTAGTACTGAGAATGCAACCCAGGGGTACTTTATCACTGAGCTACATCTTCAGCCCTTTAAAAAAACCTTTTCTTTTAATTTTAGACAGGGTTTCACTAAGCTGCCCTGGCCGGCCTTGAACTTGTGATCTTCCTGTGTCAGCCTCCTGAGTAGCTGGGATTACAGGTGTGTGCCTCTGTACCCAGCTAATATCCCGCATTTAGATCTGCTCCTCAGCTCCGTGGCCTGTGCTCCATGGTATCAGGGAGCTGCAGCTTGTCATGCAACTGGCTTTTAGGTTTCTAACCAACAGGTGTCTGCCCTCTAATACTGAGTGTTTTTTTGGTACCGGGGATGGAACTTGGGTCTTTATGCATGCAAGGAAGGCAGTGGAACCACTGAGCTAAATCCCTGGCCCTTAATCTTGAGTTTTTAATGTGCTGATTTGGTTAGCAAACAAGAATCTGATCCTGAGCAGCGAGACAGTGGGTTTCAGGCCCTTTCTTCCCCAGATTGCTCTCCTATACATGACACAGACAATGCTGAGGTGCCAGCTGTGCTCTGTATGTGTGCTATGTGGTCAGGAGCAATGTGCATGTTCTGTGTGTACGTATAGTCACACACAGAGTGAGTCACTCTGTGTGTGTAACAGACACATTTCCACCTTCTGTTTCTGTTAAAAGTGGGAAGAAAAAGAGCATCAGGGTAGTTCATATCTGACGAAGTAGCTCTAATTTTTTTTTTTTTTTGGTAGTGGGTATTGAATCCAGAGCCCCCACATTGAGCCACACCCCAGCCCTTTATTTATTTGTTTTATTTTGAGGCAGAGTCTTGTTAAGTCACTAAGTTGCCCGAGGTTGAGCTCAAACTTGTGATTTATCCCTGCCTCGGCCTCTCAGAGTGCTAATTTCCTACTCTTAATGCTAAACCAGGTTACCTGGACAATATGTTTTGGTTCTCTGGCTTGTACTTAACCTTTCCTCAGCACCTCCATTTTTCTCAATAGCCTATGAGCAGTGAATTTGATCCTCACGGTTTCCAAAGCCTGAATTGGCCGAGGTTTGCACTTTGCAGGGGAGCTGTCCTCTATCCATTTCTCCTCCCGCCTCACTTATGAGTCTGAAGCTCCCTTGGTTTCTGAAGCTTCAGCAGCTCCATGTAACATGCAGATTCCCCATTGGATGCAGGAGTGGGTGAAGATGTGGGGCTCTGCAGCCTCCCTCTCTCACCCAAAAGAAGACTTCCCTTGCTGAATGCAAAGCTCTTTCCCAGAAGCCTGGATCCAACCTTGAAGTCCTTTTTGGACACGGAGAGCTGGTAGCCTGAAGTGAACCTGAGACAAATCCTATCTTCCAGTCCTGTGTTAAGCCCTTGGCAATGTACAGGAAGGAGTGAGGTCACATCCTGGATAGACAACCAGCTCCTATTGCAATGGGAGGCTATGTCATTGCTGCCAGGCCGGGGACCATCAGCTAACACTGCAAGGCCAAGAGATGTTCGCTTTATTGGGGGAAGAATACTGGGGGTCGAACCTAGGGCCTTCTCACTGAGTTATATCCCCAAGTCCCCTCATAGGGTATATGCACATATATAAAAATTCATATATATATATATATATGTATGTATACATAATATATGTATGTGTGTATATATTCGGCAACAGAGTCTCACTAAGTCATTAAGTTGCCCCCAGGCTGGACTCAGATCTGTGATCTTCCTATCTCAGCCTCCCAGAGTATTGGGATTATAGGCATGTGTCACCATGCCCAGTCCAGTATATATTCTTAAGCAACCAGTTTCAATGCTGCCAGGTTAAAACTTCTCTTCAGCCACAATGAAAGGTTCATATTATCAGATAACCCATGCAGCGGGAGCAGTGGTAGAGAAGCCTGAAGAAAGTGTCAGTCCTCTGCACATGGAGATAGGCCACACCTTGACGTGGCAGTCAGGAGGACCCGGCATGGTGGCTGGGGCTGGTCCCCCCACAAGTCCCTGTCGTCCACTGCATGGCCTCTTGGCCTCATCAGCCTGGCATCGCTAGCTCTCCCATGTTCCCCTGGGCTCCCTGTCTTTTCTTCCAGGTCATCGTTTGGTGTGAACTGCAACACTCCCATTCCCGCAGAATCTCAGCTGCCTTCGTTTTTAAGCACCCCAGCCGTCCTCTAACCACTTGTTTCCTCTGCTCTACTCCCGTCTCTCCTAACAGCATTCCTGCTCATTGATCTCACCGGATGGTATCTTCTTCCTTACCAGGAGGATCTATTTATACTTTTTGATCCAAATTTCAGATCCCCGTTGTCGTAGGTCAGCTGGTACCACGCTCTCCCCTCCAGGCTGCACTCAGTCCCACTGCCTGTCCCATGAAATCCTTGCTTATCAGAGTTCAGACAGCAAAAACAAAGTCCTGCTGCTGAAAACAAGCTGGCCTTGGAGTCAGCCTGTAAGTCAGCTGGCTTTGGTTGTACCTGCAGTTATATCCTGTGCTTGGAAATCTTCACCCTAGACATAGATACTTCTCAGGAAAGAGCATAAGAGATTCATCTCTCAGCTCTCAGGCAATGAAGCTGAGAGGTGAATTCTCACCTTCAGCTGAAATCTAGGTACCATTTAGCCTCGGGTCTCCTGAGCCTCAGCCAGTGACTTGAGACTTAAGAAACTGAGGTATAGGGGTTACAGCAGGTGCAGAGTATGGCGTGCACCTGCTACAGCCCTCCCTGTCAGCCAGAGAAGTGTAGTGAACTCAAAACGAGCAACCAAAGGGTCAGTGCCTGAACCAGGCACAGCTCATGGTAAAAGCTGCTGCAAAACCCAAAGATGCCAGGCAGTT